GAAGCTGCAACTGCAGTTGGAAGGTCTCCCCTCAGCCTCCTCTTTATCAGGCTGAGCAGTCCAAGAGTTGTCTCGGATCTCCCTGGATCCCGAGTAAGAAAGCACCATGCTCTTTAGTCCCCTGGTTAATTCAGTGCTATTCCTATGTAGCCTTCATCTGCATCTCTGCATGAGCACACTTGAACAGGCAGCCTAAAACAAACCCAGAAAAGCACTTGGAGTTGGCACAAAATGAATTATTTACAAGCTTCCTACCAAGATAAGGTATGGCACATTTATATTTTGCCCGAGAGCCGAGCTTGTGAGCACCTGAGAGGCAGAAGCCCTGCCAGAGCTGGAAAAACATCTGAGACTGCACTTTTGTCTGCATGCCTTTTCTCCCCCCAGAGATGTTGATGGCAGCATCTGATTTCATTTGTTGCACTCTGCTGCTGTTTGAGTTTTTCACAGGAGGGTCTGGTTGATATCTGATTGTTTTGGTTTGGGGTTTTGGTTGTTTACCTATGTTTTTGTGATGGTTGTATTAATGTTGAATGGTGATTGTAAAGCACTAATCTTCCCACTGACAGGTGTCGTCCTTTCTAAATCTAAAAAAAAAAAAAAAAAAAAAAGAAAAATCAATCAGTGGTTATTGATTTGAGAGTGTCCTGGAAGATATTAAATACCTACAGTCTTTCTGTGAACTCATAAATCATGATTATTGTTTTAAAAGGCCATACATTTTAAGCACATTGTCAGCAAGCCCTGCTGGTGCTATTTGGATAATACAAATGTGTCTAAAGGCTTTGCTGGATCCATATAGTGTGGAAACAATTAGATATGTGGTTACACATCAGTGTGGCTTGAATAATTGTGCCATGCCTTTGCAAAGTTAGGAGGAAGGAAATAAACAGGGTAAGCAATTCTGAGGGTAATTAATTACTTACGGAAAATGAGATGAACTTAACAGAACTGCTCTTTCCAATTGCAATAATTAAGGACAAGTCTGAGAAAGCAGGACATGACTTCCCTGGGTGAGTTGCAGGGAAAGGGATGATGCTTTGCCTTCAGCAGCAAAGTCCAGCCACTGGTTGCCCCAGATCATAGGTTTAGGCGTCACATAGGGCCAAGGAAGGTTTGGCCTCATTTGTCTGAATAATCTTTGCATCCATCTGCTGATGGAAATCAAAAGTGACTGTGGCTTTCAATATATATTTCAATATATAAAAAATTCCAGGTGGTAAGGCCCCAACCTTTACAGATCTCCTAGGCATATAAAGGCCGGAGTTTATCCTGCAAATGAAGCTGTGGCAGGCTCAGTGACCCTCAAGATGGTTACTGATGTTGAGGGGACTGGCCACCTACTGTCGAAGATGGTGTGGGAGCCAGAAGATGAGACTGGTAAATGATGATTTGGAAGGCTGTGTGATGAGCACCAACAGCCTAAGGAAGGAGAATAGGAAGCCATTTGGCTTCATGCCATCAAGGTGGTAACTTTGTCATGAAATGCAAAGGCAGAATCCTTTAAGCACTCTTTTATTGCTTGCTATTGATTTTTCTCGCCATGAAGATGCTCCTTCACTAATTAACGATGAACCCGTTTGCTTTAGGAGGGGAGTACTGGACTTTCCAACTCCTTCAATAAATCAATCCTTTCTAATCCCTGAAATTAAAAAAAAAAAAAAAGCAAAACATCCCTATTACTTTATATCAGCAGGCAGTGGGGAGACACAAAAGCACTTTATTTTTTGTTTCCCTCCTGCTTGCCTGCAGGAAACATCTGCCTCTCTGCTTTATTTGCACCATGTTAAAATTAATTCCATGGGTCTTTCTGAATGCTTTTGAGGGGCCACATCATCCATCTGTTTTTATTTGGGTTTCATCACCCCTAACAGCTACTAAAGGTCCTATGTATTCATTTTGGTGCTTTTCCTTGCTATCCAGACAGTTATTTTGGGGCCCAAGGCATCAGTACGTGTGTTTACTGAGCCTTTTCCTGCTATCATAGAGATGGGGAGATACTTGGCACTGTCAAAAGAGTGATAAATTCAAGTTAAGTAAAATTAAACCATAAAGAATTCTACGGAATTATAATATGTAAAGTCAATTAGTTATGTAGGGTTTTATTAAAGGCTTAGGTTTACTGTAAATGTGGCTCAAAACTATACTTTGTTTAACTAAGAAAAAGAAAAAAAAAGCTCTTTTCAAAGTATAAGAAGGCCAGCCATTATTCTTTTTTAATGAGAGCTGAATAGCTGCTTTCTGATAATAGACTTTGCCTGTTCAGTAGCATTTTAGAACCAATCTTCATATGAAGGTAAATTCTTGACTTTTCCTGCTGCAAAAAAAGTGAGGGCTTTAACATTTCACGATATTGCTAATGTAGGTACATGAAAGTCATTTGCTTCATGTAATGAATGTTGCAGTATGTCTGTAACTGTTTTGGGCTGTCCATGTGTATCCCAGCAATTCAGTCTCCTTGAGTCAAAATGGTATTTATTGGGATTTTAAAAGGATAGGCTGTACAAAAGGGGTTCCTGAGCTTAGGATGAATTGGTTTTGAAATTCCTTAAGCATCTAAACAAGGATAAAAGTAGCTAATTTTAACAACTTTTTAAAAAAAAGTATTGCTCTGGAAATACCACAGGAATATAGAAGGTAATGTGAGCAATCCTTTCTCATCACTGAAGGAGAAGGTACTCTGGGAAATTGAAAGACATCTAACTTAAATAAGATTTTGAAAGAGTTTTACATGATGTGTAATTAACCTTAAGAAGTCTTTGCCCCAAGGTAAAGTCAGGGCTTTTTTAAGATTAGAAAATGAATTAGGTATTTATACAGATTGGTAGACCATCCTCTATCCATCATCTGGGCTGCAAAGAAACACAAGGGAGGTGAGGTAAGATTTCACAGGTTCAATGAATAATGCAGCCACCAAAGATCAGCTTTTTACCTTCAGGTATTTGAAAGTGAAGCCTCCACCTAAGCCATCATTCAGGTTTCCTCGGCAGTCAGTAGAGAAATGCTTTTCTTCAGGGAATGGCAAAGCCCCACCTACCTTAAATACCTGATCTTTTAAGGGATAAATTCCTCTTTGGGGGTACCAGTCTGACATTAACTGTGGGGGGAGCAGAGTCACATAATATAAATGCAATGGGCTATATCCCTTACTGTCAGGTACTGCATGAATTGAACCAAATCTGGAGATAGCACTTTAGATGCTAGGCTGTGCTAGGCTAGATTTTTCCAACAATTTCTGCTTCAATTATTACTTGCCTTTACTACTAGTGAATATAATCTCAGTTTTCCAGTCAGCACCTCTATTCTTCTGGGAACCAAGGCTCTTCCAAGGCTTTTCTCTTGTCTAAATGATGGGTTTTATGTATTGCAGATAATGACACAGTATTACTGCTGCACTGATGGGTTTCACAGACTTCACCAGGGGTAAAAAAAACCCAAAACGTTCTGAAGTAATTTTTGTCAGAAATTGTTACTAACACAAGAGTTAAGCTTCTTACGACACTTGAGTTGGTGAAATGAAAAGGATTGTATTTCATGAGAGATATAAGAGACTAAATTTGATGGCCCTTGTATGTAGAGAATTAAAATGGGAGTTAGGCATCTTTGAAAATCTCACTTCTTTAGGCACCTGTTTGCTTTGGGCAGTAGGCCCTAGACACACCCATGTTGGAAACAGGGTAAAAACTGCTAAGGTCTTTTTGGTGGTTTTCTTCTTAGCTGCTTTGAAGTGTTACCCTCAAGTTCAAAGGGAAACCACGTTTACCAGTTTTGCATTTTGTCTGTAAAGAGATGAAATGGAACCTTCAGCTGCCTTGAAGAAACGCTATTATGGGTTGCTGAAAAACTTTGTAAGGGTCTGGATAGTAAGAGCAACATGAAAAAAAATTATAATTCTGTACTTTTATAATCTAGTGCTGATTGCTTTTTGGTATAAAGTCTTTACCATAGAACCTGCATGCTTGTGAACTCAGTAACAGAAATCCAGGCCCTGCTCCTGCCCACGTTGCTGGGCTGACAGCTCCAGATTGTCCCGTATCTTCATTTCATTTAATTGCATGGTAGGGGAGCTGCAGGTTGCCAGTATTGACCAGAGGAGGTCTCAGCAGGATGGACTGGCCCTGGTTGACAGGGGTAATGAGATGAGCATGTTGAGCCATCCTCCATCTCTGGCACCCATAGGGGTTTCTGTGAGGGATGGTGGGTTCGAAAGCTCGGTGTCAGCAGGGAGAGGAGGCCTGGGAGTTGTTGCACATCACCCGTCACACAGGCAGGGTTAGGCACACAGCCTGTCCCAGAAGGTCAGGGAGACTCCCCTAGGAAAATGGCAGTGACAGTGACAGGAGCTGAGTGATCCAGCTTGGTTTCTTCATCACTGCAGTGAGCTGCTTTTCACCCTCGCCTGACAGAGGCCTGTCCTTGCCCTTCCCCATGAAATGGTAGTAGATAGGTCCATGCCATGTCACCCAGGGCTTCAGAAGATCTCATGTCATTACCTCAAGAACGCTGCAGTCTGACTCATAATGTGGCAACTTGGAAGTTCCACTTTGGAAAAGTCAGTGGCAATAAAGGTACTCCTGTAACACGCTCCAGCCCCACAGGCAGGCAGTTCTGGAGGCATGGTGAAGTTTTGCCACATGAATATGTGAAAGCCGCCTGTGGTGGCTATGCTGGGGTTTCAAAACTCATCTTCTCCGAGGACAGCCATGACATTTGGGAGATACTTCATAGCCAATTGACAGCTGTGGGATGGTAGCCAGGAGGGGTAGCTGCAGCACACGGCTAGCGATGCCTGCTTCTGTGCATTAAGGCAGCATTCCCACTCATGTTTCAGTTCCCTGGGGAAGCCAGCCAGGCTGGCTGGTATGTTCCAGTGCCGTTCCACCTTTGGTTTTAGTGATGGCTGGTGGGAGAAGGGAGGGGAGCTAGCAGTAAACTCTATTCTCTATGTCATTATATTTCTAATGTTGGTGTTCTTGTCTTTATGTCTATGCATTCTTTAGCTATGAGGATAACAGACCCTTCATCAAGTAAGAATGACCTGAATGGCTGATAAATTTCATTTATCAGTGTGGTCTCATGAACCAGCTGTCAGATCGATATTGAAAAATCATTAAAGCTTCTGTCATTCGCTTTTGAGGCAGAAGAGCAAACTGTGCAGGAAAATGGTCAGGCATACAGCTAAGGTGCAGAGTAAATGTGCTGCATGTGTATTGCCAACCAATTGTCACCTTATTTGCTTTGTATTCCTTAATTGGATGTTGCTTGAATTCAAGGTGTAAGTTCCAAAGTTAATCCTGTGTGGTACAGACTTGTTTTACCAGCTGCAGCCTCTGGTCCACTGTGCTCTGTCTGGGATTGCTTTATGGTAGTCTAAATGCAGAAGCAATTTTTCTAAAAGGTGCATGGCTGCTGTACCCCATGATTCCCTTTCTAGTTAATGGGAGCAGTGCAAGCAAATCTGTGTGCACTGGAGACTCCTTACTCATTGAAGTACCTCCTAATTGTTCCTAATTGTAAAGCACTGATTTTCAGATGTACCAAAAATTGGATATTTTTGTTTAATTGCAATAAAATTCCACAACAGGAAAGAAAAGCCAAGGAAAAGCAGTAGCAAGTCTGTACAAGGAGTAAGATAAAAACCTCAAGCTGCACCAAAAAACAAAAACCAACCCAAACTTGTAAAGAAAGCTAAAAATGCCTAGAAATTGCATACCTTAGGGCATCCACGCTCTTTCTCCTGCAACCAAAAAATTAATGTGCAGTAGCACAAAATAGAAGCAGATCAACTTTGCAGTAGACTTTCAGTTTGTTCTTCTGGTGAAGAGTCCTTTGTGTGTTTGTTCCTTCAGCACCATTCCCATGTTCTCTTCCATCGCTTGGTTCTGGTTTTTTCTGTGGATGTGGGATGGAGCTATTCACAGTAACCTCCACGTCCTCCTTACCGCCGCCTCTTGTTTCCTGAGACACTGTTAATGCGTGCAGTTTGCACTGGTGGAGGTCTTCTAACCCACAGATTCCTTTCCATCACTGAAGGTAGCATTTCTTCACTACATAACTGTTTCATTCCTGCACAGCTCTGCAGCCAAAGGCTCTTTAGTCAGATTCAAGAATGGGCTGAGCTTCAGAGCAGAATATTTTTCTGATATCCAGGGAATAATTTTTAAAATACTCTGGAAGTGCAGGAAGCTTTTATCTGGGGATGAGAAAAGAGGAAAGAGGAAAAAAAAAAGGGGGGGGAGGTTTCCACTTAATTTGCTCTCCTTTTTTTTTTGGTGAAAAAGAAAATTATTTGTGTTTTATTAATTGCTATGCAACTGGGACAATAGCATGCTCTCACTGATGGTGGAATCTTGGGGAGAAAAATATTCCAAGTGACTAAGCTGTAAATTTTATCTAGTGGCTATCTTTTTGAAGGATTGTGAGAGTGTATTTTCAGTTTGCAACACGCTAAATATTTATTAGTAGGATTGACTGGAAATGCTTCAAAGGAGCTGTTCTGGTCTGCTAGGTACATAATAGTGATTTTTAAAGAACTGTCTTAATAAGTGGTTACCTTAGGGAGCTCTTCTGGTCATGTGGTTAAATAATACATATTTTATAAACTTCAGTGGAAGACTTAATGCTGCATTTTCATTCTAATACCTGAAGAAAAAAAAAATAAACATCTTTCTCCCCCTTGCCCCATGCTCTGCTTAGCAGATGGAAGCCCAGACCCAGGCTACATTCCCACAAGGCTGAAAGGGCTTGGAAACGTAGGCAGGTCTTTGTTCCTGCGAGCCCTTCTGCTGCACCTCAGGGGGCCTTGGGGCAGACAAGGGAACAGAGGTGCTGGCTCACTGCAGTCTTGTCTGATTTGGGATACAGAAGGGCTAAACAGTGAGGAAGGGGTGCAAAGATTGGATATCAATGCATTCATTTTTATGATGTTACACCTAATGATAACAGGGGATTGCAGAAGAAAACCAAAGCCTTTAGGTAAAGGACAAACAGATATTCAAGGTGCTTCTTGCTTCCCAGCTAGAAGTTTGTTCCCTCCCCTGTGCAGCAGCAATTCCTTTAAAGTTGTAGGTAGTACATCATGTGAAGACTAGGCTAGGAGCAGTTCAGAGTTCCTGTGCTGCTTCTCATACTTCATCTCTTGTCCTGGTATTTGAAGATCAGTCTTGGAGAAGGTAATTTAGGAGATGACTAAATGTTATTTAGCAGGAAAACATGGAATACTCCTCTTGCCAAACCAGCAGAGCTTCCAGCTTTCCTGAAAACACCCAAAAAACCTAACATGCAGCGGTCACCCCATGTCCCAAGATCTGTTTTCTGGGCAGAAAGTCAGTGGGAGAAAGCAGGCAAAAACCTGCTCCCCCTATTTGCTGGAACAGCATTAGAAGTCAAGAAGTGGCTACACCTCTACTCCCACTGCCCTCCTGAGGTAGAGCAAGTGATAATCTTAGTTTTGCAGCCCATGTGAAGAAGGATTGCCCCTCCTTTTCTCCTGGCAGAAGTGTGGCAGCAGCTACCATGTTAGCAAATGTAGTGTGTGAGTGCCTGTACGAGTATACACACTTCCCCTCATCGCAGGGTGGAAGAAGTGTGAAGCAGCACTGCAAGAAAGATCCTTGTGTGGAGTGGATCTGGCAAGCAGGGAAGGCTTGCCCACCTGCCTGTAGCTGTTTATCTGGCTTACACACATATGGGAGACTAGCTAAAATGCAGCAATACATGTGTCTTGGTGTTAAGTGTAAATAAAGAAGCTAATCCAGCTGGCAGTCCTGTGAAACCAGCGGACACTTAAAAAAGTGACAATCAGAGTTGTCATTTCATTTGGTTTATTTTCTTTTCCTCCATTTGCAGAAATAACATCTACATGCCATTTACATGCACACTGCTTTTATGTATTTAAAAAAGAAAAGAGACATTGTGGTTACAAATGTTGCTTTGGTTATGATAAATTTCTATGCTCATAACACTTCCATTTCCTTGTATTTCCTCAAGCTTGAAGATTTGTAAACTGCATTCAGCTTGAAGACAAAAGCTCCCTATGATTTATTTTGATATGCTATTTTCTTTTTGCTAAAACCAGGGGCAAAAAAAAATCTTCCTGCCTGTAGACACATGCCTTCTTTTGTGTAGATGAAAAACCAATCCCGTTCTTTTTTTCTTTTTTTCTTTTTCTTTTTTTCTTTTTTCTTTTTTTCTTTTTTTTTTTTTTTTTTCTCCTAACAGGTCCTGGGTTATAGGTGCCATAGCCCTACTCTGCCTATTAGGACTGACCTGGGCATTCGGACTCATGTATATTAATGAAAGCACAGTCATCATGGCGTATCTCTTCACCATATTCAATTCTCTGCAGGGAATGTTTATATTCATTTTCCATTGTGTCCTCCAGAAAAAGGTAAGACGGACGGTTCCCAGCAGCAAGAGAGGTGGTAACGAGGTGTTTTGTTGCCTAACAACCACATTGTAGCATCATCTGTGTGCCCTGAATCCGTATCACACAGATTTATCTCTGTGCACCTAATAAGGGTGGTATTTAGACTGGAAACCAGCGAGATGCTGGGGAATGAGGTTCTAACAAGGACATGTGGCAGTGGCATTTCAGCAGCCCTGGCAGATGTGTCAGAGGCAAGGGAAAAAGCAGCTGTCAGTTTGCAGGGCCCTGTAACAGGGCTTTGCCTGCTGTTAGCCAGATTCTCCTTCCTTGTGAGATGGGAGAGAATCCACGAGCATCCAGAAAGTGCTCCCGTGGCTGAGTGCTCACAGCAAAGTGGAGCTTTACATCCTCATTTGCAGTCCCTGCAGGAAATCACCCCTTCGGGTGGCAGCATATGTGGGTTGATGGGATGTAATAGGGGCTGCTTCCCCTGCTTTTTTAAGAACTGAAAGACCTGTGCTCTGCAGCGGTTCATTAGCCTTTGTATTGCTTGGGTTTGATACAGTGTTTTGGAAATCTTCCTCAAAGCAAGCACAGCAAGTGCTTCTTGGTGGAAATTGAAGTATGTCCCAGTTAACATTTGCAGGATAACAGTGGAGTAACTTCGATAAACTCTTGGGAGGGAAAAAAAAAAATCCCCAACAGAATGAAAATTCTGAGTTTATGTAGATCAAATTTACAGCCTCTGACAATCAGTAATAAGTATTTTTAAGAACATTTTTGTTCTCTGCTTAAATTCAGTAGTACAGAGCCCTCCAATTCTGTGCATGCTGATGATTTGCTATGTCCATTTTAGTTTCAAAGGGCAGTTTACTGAACCAATATAAACACAGGGAAGAGTTTATGTAGATACACTGGTCCCAGTTTCTTAGGGTAACCAGTATCTTGTGGTGAAATGGCTTTTTGAGTAATGTCAGGTCCATCTTGAGATCAGTCCTCCATCTGAGAGCCACAGGCTTGCTCCTCTGTTACTCACATTTTCCTATACAGGCAAGGGAGATCTGGCCCATGAAAACATAATCAAAATTCATCATAAAAAGTGTGCTCTGCAAGTGATGCCTCTGGAAGGATCTGCAGAGCTGTGAGTAAATGTCATTCTTGAAACCAGAGGAAGACTTTTGGGGTTAAGAGTTTTGTCCTTGTTGTTGCATCTCAAATTTGTCCATCTCAAGAAGCTTAAAAGCTTTATCTAGATGCAACCTCCTGCTGATGATCCCAAGCCTTTCAGCAAGAGAGTTTCCAGGAAAGATGATAGTAAGAGTGTAGGAAGCATCACCATTGCTTATTAAATCTGCAGGTGCCTCTCTGTGAGGAGTTTGAATTTCTGCACCATTCTGACTGGTACATCCTCTCACCCCCAGTGCACCCTGCAAAGGGTCAGTCCCTCACCCAGCATCCCTGCACCGCTCCACAGCCTCCTTGGCTGGTGGGGTTCTCAGTCAGCATGACAGAACCATTCTCTTTTCTGTCTTAAGCCAATTTACACCCTTAAACCACCAATGATGGCTGTGGAATTGTTCCTGATTTACTGATTTACCACGGATTTACCACTGCAAGGTACCTTGCTGTGGAGTGGATGGATCTCTCTGACCTAAGAGCTGAGGGAGGTATTATTTAAAAGGAGAAAAAAAAATTCTTTCCTTTCCTATCTATCATGGCCTAGAAAATCGGCAGAACGCTGCAGAGAGGCAAGCAGTGGGTGGCTAATTAAAGCAATTGAATTATTTTCTCTCAGCAAAGGATTGATTAGGCACTCGAGCATATTGGGCACTTGTGGTATGTGTTTGTCTCAAGCGCTTAAGGAAGAGCCTAATGAAAAAGCTGTAATTTTCTATTTAAATAGTTGTTTCACAGAGTTGTGAAATGCTCATGGAGGGTTTGGCAAAATTTTAAAGCTAACCATGTGCTTCAAGGAATTTCAACTGGTGTTCTGGACATGCATGATGGTTTGGGGCTTTTTTGTGTCAGCGGGTAACATGACCCTCTTTTGGCTCTTCAATACAGTCTGCTCACCTTCAGCCCTGTCCCATCTGGTTTCTGGGTATTGCTGCCCATAAAAAGTCATACCTGTAGCTTGGTGGAAGGTTACGTCTGTTCTGGCTTTAGCCAGCGTAGTTCCTCTGAAGCAAAGGAGTTGGCACGGGTTTGACTTCAGTGCCCATTTAAAACATGACTGGCTTGCACAGTGCTGTGGAAAAGCAGGCTCCAGCCATCCCCTGAGCATTGGGAATGTAATCTCTAATGCTGCTGGTTCTGCTGTTTCCTCAAATTTCAATTTGACTGCAAGAAACATTTTTTTTATAAAAGAATCAATAGCTTTCATACGTTTCTCTTGGAATTCTTTTTTCTTAGTCCCCTGCCAGAAGCAATAACTTCTAGTACCTTGATGAGCCAATATGCTAGTTTATATCAAATCTACAACGATATTAATTTTCAGCCATAAATAGTGTACCTGCACTTTCTGCCATGCTCCTTTGATGTGCCTCAGAGGATGCCATAACTGGCTGGTGCCAACGAGCAGCTTTGCCTCAGGGGAGCAGTCTCTTGCGACATCCTGAGCCACCAGCTCAGCTGCAAGGGGTACTGGACTGCACACACTGCAGCAGATTTTGTTTTAACAAAGCACTGAGGAAAAACCAGGGGCTGTGTTGAAAATCAGAAGGCAATGGGCTGGAGGAGGAGCTGCCTGCTAACCACCAGCGCTCTTTCCTTGGCTAGGTACGTAAGGAGTACGGAAAATGCCTGCGCACACATTGCTGTAGTGGGAAAAGTACAGAGAGTTCTATCGGCTCAGGAAAAACCTCGGGGTCAAGGACACCTGGAAGATATTCCACAGGCTCACAGGTAACCCACGCTCTTTGTTTGTGTCCCAGGGCCATGCCAAGACCCTTCTCAGCTGTTCTGGAAGGAAAGCTCCTCTCAGCACCAAAGGAGCTGCCTTAGGCCTCTCCCCAGTGCACCTGCAGAGATTCCCCTCACTTCCACACCTGAACTCAACACAGTGGCGTCCCCTGAGATGTGATGGCAATTAAATGCCTCTCCGAGAACCTTCTAAATAGTTCTGTTGGGAATAGAAAGTCCAAATTTGCCTTCCAGAGGCAAGGTGTGGTTATCACCTGAGGTGTCCTGCCTGCTCTCCATGGGAAGCAGGAGGTGGGAGCATTGGTCAGCTGTGCTACATTCCAGTATACACCTTTAATCGTGAGATGAAGGTTGTCACTATCAACTATTAACATTAACATTAACAAGACTGATGCTGTAAGCACCAAGTGTTTTTCTTGTAAAAGAAAATTAAAGGCTACAAGTGTCTTGTAGCAGCCTTCCCAGTGAAAGAGCTTGCTTCCTGACATTCAGTGGTTTGGTCTGTTCTGTGCCTCACACAATTTGTCTAAGCTTATATGCAGATTTATGGATGAAAAGTTCGTATAAAATGAAGAAGCTTATTTCTTAATCAATAGAAACCAAACACAAATTTATTCAGTATTAGTAATGGAAGTAATTATACATGACAGTTCCACTATTAAATTTTAAAAAACATGCAGTGAGTAACAGCTTATAACTTTCCAGGAAAACCTAATTGGCAATTTATGTCTTGGAGCAAATAATTATTTATTTGCAGTGGTTTCCAAGATGTCATCCAAAAGCTCCACTTTGGTGTTTTCATAGGTCTGGTAGCTATGCAGAGCAAATAAAAGCAATAGAATATAGAACCTCTCTCCAGTAGGCCATCAAATCCCAATAATGTCCAAAACTCACAATATCCCAGCAGCATTTAGGTGGCTGACTTGAAAGCCTCTGGTTATACATAACTTTGCTGCTGTGCTGGTGCCCTCCTCTCCAGAAAGAGTTGACTTCAGTGGTCCCCTGCCCCCACCAGTCCCAGCATAAGAGAACAAGCCCTTTTGAAGGTGAGCTGAGTCTTCTGGCAGAAGTCCCCTTGTGGTAGGTGAGGTTTGAGGCACCAAGGCAGATTATTTTGCCTGCAGAAGCGTGTCCTTTGAAGGATGGAAGTTCCTAAGGCCTATTGTATCCAGGAGAAACCTCATAGAGGTGATGTAGAGTAGATGGAGATCAATCTGAGTTGCTGAAAACATCTGTCTCCTAACATTAAATAGAGAAGACCATGAGGAGGAAAGCTTCTAAGATCCCTTTATTCTCTGGGAAGCACATAGGAAACAGAATAATTAATCTACAATGGCTCATACCAGAGAAATACAATAAATTAAACGTCCAGGTGAAAAATAATTACTGTAAAAGGGCATGGGCCTCATGCCACGTGGTACTTTCATTTATAGAGGCTAGTGCATGATTAGGAGATGCTGTTATTCCATGGTCAGTGAGTAATCTAGGACTTTCCAGCCTGGGACCGTATGATTAAGCCTTGGTAGATCTCTCACGGCTAAAATCCCACTATGGGAACCACTGGATTTTTGGCACTTAACTTTTTTCCCACTGTGGTGTGTCACAGTGGGAAAAAGGCTTCCCAGACTCCCAGACCACCTAGCATCACTTTCTCACAGCCAGGGAAAACGTCCACCAGAGTCACAGACATGAGGTGAGGGAGAGTTTCCCTGGGACACCTGGGTTCTCCAGTCATCTTCAAGCAGGGATTGGGATTGAACTGCTCACAAGATGAATTTTGGCTGATTTTTTGGTATTTTGCAAGGTCTAGTTGGGGAGGAGTGAGACAGTGATGTAAATGCCACAGAGGCGGATACTTCACAGCAGGCCAACATATTCAGGACATTTTTGCCAGTAGCAGAAGCTATACCACAGATGGCAAAACCATCACAGATTTTTCAGTATGGGAACAGAAGTCATTCATTTGTGGGAATTTTTTTTGCCCCCCTAAAATCCCCAAGATGGAAAATAGCTATAGAAAACTTCTGTTTGTGCAGGGACACCAAGATGCAAATCAAGTCTTCTGTTACACTTCACAAAAAATAAGAAACAAGTTGTCTGAGTATGAGAAGCCCATGTGCTTCTGTGTGGGGGTTGTTTTAACATTATTTGGTTCTGTATTGGTAAACCTGTAGCTGGCATGGGGTCTGGGTTTCTCTCATGCATGATTTTTTTTTTTTTTCTTTTAATTAAGATGTAAGGAATTCAATTATACACTTTTTCTTTGAGCTAGGCATTTGTGTTTCAAAGTAAGTCTGGCAGGGTCTGGCATACATGAGGCAGGTTACAAAAAAACAGCAACTGCTTGCTTACAGCTGGCTAGAAACAAGTCTCATCCTGAGCTAGATGTGCCAGTAGCCATCTTTAGTGAGGCAGAAAGAAACCTCTCTACAGCTGCTAAAAATTCATTGCCTGCTGTGCTTCAATCCCTCTTCAGAGCCGGATTCGTAGGATGTGGAATGACACGGTTCGAAAGCAGTCCGAATCTTCCTTTATCACTGGAGATATAAACAGTTCAGCTTCACTCAACAGAGGTAATTATAAACTATTTTTCATCTCACTAACTCTTCTGATGGCTTTAAGGAGTCTGAAATGTGTTGCCTCTTTGCCCCCTGCCTTTTCCTCCTCACCCCAAACGTCACTGGACCCTGTTCTACCACCCAAGAAATGTTACAGTGATAAATGGGAGGAGGTTTTATGGTGGTTGTTGCCTTCTTTTTCTTTTCTTTATTTCTACACGTGCATTTTCAAAAATTGTTGTTTCTGGAAGGAAGCTAGGAAAAGTGAAAGAGAGAAATGAAATTAAGTTGAAGTCTGCCCTTTCCCTCAGAAAACTGCTAGTGCCAGAAGCTGCTGATGTGTCAGGCCTCGTTGCTGACAGTGGAAATGGGACATTCCAGCACTGTAAAGCCTGTGTTAAGCATCACAGGAGTCCTGATTGTCCTGCATATGTAGCAATACTGTCATCTTTACAGAAGCAAAAGTGAACAGCAGAACGTAGACGTAAGGAAAAACTGTGCTTGGAACAAAATTGTCTGTGTTGGTGATAATATACCTAGTTTGAAGAACTGACTGATGTGAACTTTATAGACATCTGTGGAGGAAAGGCTATCAGAAATGTATATGCCAAACAAAATGTGGTGTCTGGCACAAGAGAAAATGTGAACAGCTTTTTTACACCAAGTGTTTTTCGGGGAAGTGCAGGAAAGCAGTGGTAACAGAATACCAGAAAAAGAGCCTCAGAGATTGTTTCCTTTCTCTTCCAATACAGCTACTTGAGCAACCAGATGCCAAACTGTTTTGTGTTACCTGTCCAGTTGATGCTGAAATTAAGAAAGGGTGGGATTGAGATTACTGGGCCTAGGTGTTGTCTCATGATGATGAAAATCAAGCATACTTCCAGTCCTGATGGTTGGTCTGCAAAGCTCGACTGAGAATTGAGTTAGGGCTTTGGTTTCCTATTCAGTCTTTATTCTCACAGAATTTCCACTGATTTTAGGGTGAGTTTTGCCTGAGGATAGACTTGAAGGATTTTGTCTATGCTGAGTAATATTGACTGCTGAGTTCTGGGGGAACTAGGGGTATATGATTCTGTTCTCTGAACATGATACACACTGCCCAAATCTGTGCAGTGGGGAAGGCAGTATAACATGGAGCTGTACTGTTCTTCAACTCACTGGTCTTTTTTGTGCCAGGATATTTTCCCTTTGCACTGAAGACTCATTAATAAAGTTGACTATAAGATTCCATTACTGCAAATACCTGATTTATCCACATACATTGCCCTCAAATCTCTCTCTGTCTCTGCATTAAAGACTACAGAGCAGCAGCCAGGCTTCTCTGAGTCTAATGTAGGGGGGAAGTTGGTTGTCACACAGAGGTTCCAGCAAGAGCCACTGTTTCCCTCAGCCATCTCACTGCTCCATCTCAGTGGCAAACCAAAATGTGTTATGCATGAAATGTTTGCTCCTTTAGTTAGCACAGAAGTTGAACTTGTTCTCTGATGCAGCTGAGGTTACCAAGGGATGTGTTTTAGCAAACAGGATCTTCCAGGTTTCTTAGCAAAAGAAAGGTATCCTTTTTTGGTTGTTTATTTTTTTTCTGTGCAAAGAGGGAAGTATGACTGTCAGTTGGGACAAGTGAAGAGGCTTCAAGTGGGCAATCTTCATCCCAGTGTGGTGAGAACCTGTTAGTAGATGTGGCTCTGATTTAAAGGTCATTTGGGAAATGAACTGCCAGGAGAAGCATCTTCAAAGCAGGTTTCATCCAGCTATTTTCCTTGTGTAACACTGGATGAGGTGAATCACCTGAAGGGCTTGAATCTCTCTGTTGACTACAGAAGCAGCCTGATTAGTGTCTTAGAAGGGAAGCCTTTTAGGTGGAACACTGAAGTGACTTGAGTAAGTTTTACAGTTCTATAGTCATCCTCCCTCATTTTCACACAAGCAGGCACAATAATTGTTGTTGTTGGGTTTTGGGTTTTTTTTCTGGTAAACAGAAGTATTTGTAAAGTGGAGGTTAAAAACATTCCTATGAGAGATGGCATCTCCCATCCAAGCAGCAGGTGGTCAGTTCCAAATGGAAACACACCTGACATCAACAGTAATCCCAGCTGCATGGGACTCCAGGTATTTCTCCCTTTATCCTGTTTATTTCATCTGAAAAGCAACATTCGTGGTCTTAGGGCTTTCCACAGAGAAAACTCTCCAGAGAACTGCAGCCTGAACAGAGCAGTGAGGCAATGTGTTTTTCAGAGTTCTTGTCTTACCCTTAATATTTACATATGCATTCATCTTTGAAGGAGCTGTTTCATTAATGTTTTATTTACAAGCATGCTGTTAAGGCTCAGAGGATTCAAATGTGAACCTTGAACTGTATGGTCAGTGGTTTTCCCTGCCTGAGGTTGATATAACAGTGTCCCTCCTGTTCCTGTTCAAAATTCCCACTCCAGCCCTCCCAGCCTAGACACCTTTTGCACAAAATTATCTGTATTATCCCAAGCTAAACATTATTTGTGTGCTTGCATTATCTCCAGAGCCTTCAGAGAGCAGTCTGTGTTCTAAAACAGAAAGAAAATGATCCTTTGTCCCCACAATTGCCTAGCATCCAGGTCCTGGGGCTTAACTCCATGTCCTAGTCCAGCACTGAGTTTTCATGTTTCTGCTCAGGGAACAGAAAGCAGTGAGACATCCTCTGACTGGGGTACTGTTTTACTGAAACCTGTTTTTTCCCCTGATATCATTCATCATATTCACAGCCTCCTGCCACATGATAGCAACCCAGGCAAGACTGCTCTAGCTATCCATATTTCCTGTATGATGACTGGCATTTCTGCACGACATCTCATCCCTTCTTCCTTCATGAACCTCCTAGGCATCAGTCTGGAATATGGTGTCTGTGTTAGTGCATCCCTCCTTTAGACATACAGCTATGTCTTTCTGTGACTTAGCAGATAATACACTGTTTATGGCTCTTCTCAGCTTCATGCTCTCGTTTATCTACTGTTCCCCTCTCTCCCTGCCAAAGTAATTGACCATAATGTTACTATTCTTATTCTCATTTATCACACCAAGAATTTCAGGCATAACCCCAAACTTGCCTGATGTAATGTGTTCTGTAATGAAAACTTTACTCTGTCCTAAGGCATACAAGACTACTTCAGATATTTCCTGAAGTTAGAGTCTAATTACTGATTAATAAAAAGTATGTCTGGCTGTTTCCCTTGCTGCTCATCACGGCTTAATAGTGATGTGGATTTGGGGTTGCTGTACCGCTGAAATCAGGAGGAAGGGAAGAGAAACTGGCTGTGGATTTCCTTTTTTACTGTTGAATGAAGAGCATGCCTGTCCACCCCATGAACGTGGTCTCAGTTTCACAATCCAGGGGGATTCCTGCTCCTTGCACTCACACTCTGCAACTCTGTCCAATTTTTCACACCCTGCGTCTGGCTGCTTACTTCTGCTATGTCTTTCACATTCAGCCTGTGCTCTACATTTCTTTTCCTAGTGCTGAAAGCTTCAGAGGTGTAAAAGCTGAACCAAGCTGATTACCTCATAAGTAGGAAAAAGAAGTTTCCCTTTGCCTGCAGGGTGTTTGGTGTCTGATCTCAATACAGACACTTGGATGCAGTACTGACAAAGTAGTACAAAAGGAATGCATGTAGGATGGACTGTTTGCTGGACTCCAGTACTTTGAAGGCTGAAAAGTGGAATGTATGAAGGAAAAGCAACAGAGCTTGCCTGAGCTGTGGGTACGTCCAGTCAGCCACCTCAGGATCGTGAGGGATGGGTCTGTTTGCACCTTCAGAGTGTTAATGTCAAAAAGCTCAGCCAGCCTCACAAACAAAAGCAGCCATAGCACAAAACAGCAATGTGACACCAGCCTATTTTATCCATGTCTTAGGTGAGAGGCAATACAGTAATTACTGTCTCTCTTTGGATATGAGACAACTGGGAGGGAAGAGAAATGATCATGAACTACGTGGTAGTTTGTTACCCTTCAGGTTTTCAAGCTGGGGGAAGGGAAGTGGTGGTATGATGTGTGTGATATTTTTAATTTTTTTCTCAAAGGAAAAGTGGAAGTTATCTCTTAAAGAAAAGACTGTTCCTTGTTTTAGTAAGGCTTAAGAGCAGCAGAGACAAAGGATTTTGTCAGTGGTACAAAGCAGTGCTTTGTTAAAGGAAAGTGCTCAGATGGAGTTGTGTATATCAATTCAAGTTAGCACATAGTAGTTTTTCCCTCTTCAGGGAAATAATTGGGCTATGGGTAAAGCCACCAGACTTCACAGAGAATAGAAACTGCTCCAGAAGTGTGTTGTGTTGGGTCAAGTGCTGTTCTCATGCTGCAGTGCTCTGACTCTTAGCTTATAAACTAGACAGCAAATTTAATAGTTTATCCCATCTGACTCTTAGCTTATAAACTAGACAGCAAATTTAATAGTTTATCCCAGTAGCAGTCCTGCTATAGAAACAGGAGTTTGTACACCTCTTGTCTTTTGGCTATATATATATGCTTTATGGCCATCCACCCCCAAAGAACTGCTCTCCTTCCCCACCACCCTCATCCATGGAGGTCTCCTGGAGGAACTTCTTGGTGGTTCACATTGCTGCTCCACTTGTCTGAAAGAAAAGAAACAGCAGGGAGCTGTAAGAGCAGAGCTGTTTCATGTTTCATGATCCAGCCAGGAGACAGACACAAGGCAAGGACGGGGTGCCCAGAGCCAGGCAGGGCTGTGCCTTCCTGGTGGGTCTCATGGAGATCACTGAGGCCTGCGGGGGTCATAAGGACCTCAAGAGCTGTTGCAGATTGGAGCCCAGGACCCCTGGCAGCTCTTATTGAAGGATGGTAAGTCTTAAATACTTAAATACTTCAATTTATCCATGTGGCCCTAAGGGTCCATTGTGAGGGAGCAGGCCCTTGCCAGCAAACCCCATCAGAGTCATCGCAAAGGCCTCAGATCTCCAGTCTGGGCACAACAGGTATTATCCCTGACTAGGAAAGCTGTGTTCATTCCCTGTTTGCTCCCATGCAAATG